CCATTTTTTTTCCATGAGCGCTGCAGGAAATATCCTCCCGTCCTCCTTATGAGAGCATAATTTCTACAATGAAGAACAAAATTCGATATTTACGTCATAGCTCTCAAGAAGTCCTACCCGAAGGCTCTTGATTATACATAACATAAAAAGTACAATGCAGAAAAGGGAGAAGTAGGGAGGGGAGGGGAGGGGTTTGCCAAGCACTTTTAAAAGCCACAGCAAGGGATGATCAACAACCCCCTCGACATTTATGGCACAGAGGTGGCGCGGGATAGTAGGTGTACAACCAGAAGGTTAGTTTTTAGTAAAGGTTTTACGGCGCTCGCAACTGCATAAGATCATACGAGCGCCAGAAGATTAGAGGTGTTACAAGAGAGTAACAAGCATAAAAAAAGAAGAAGGAGAGATAAGGACGATAGATGTTTGATTGGAAAGAAGAAGCACACCACACAAGAGCACCCGCCAACTACCCACACAATTTTGATCTTGAGACAAACAGAGCAGTCAAAGTAGAAAAGACACCAACAAAAATAAACATCTAACCCCCCCTCCCCCTCTCATAAAAAAGGGGGGGGGGGTTAGTTTTAGTTCAGTAAGAGGTCATGCAAATGCCGAAGATTATAGCTAGGTGTTACTAGAGAGTAGTAACATACAAAGAATAAAAAAGAGGAAAAATAAAGGCCGTAGGTGTTTGAAAATACAGACGATAGATATGTGAAAGAGAAAAGGGAGCAATCCATACCAGAACACCTGCCAACCACCAACTTTAATCATTAAACAAAAAAATGACCCCAAAGCATAGCGGAACATTGATTTAAATTCTTCACAAAAAAAGTCTGCGAAAGGAATCGTAGACATGTACGTTGACGAAACAAATAAGATAATAGCTCGAACTCCGGGACGGGAAAGTCAATAAAGACATGCCAGATCGCTCTGCAGAGAGCGAGGTAAGCAGACCAGGCTGGCTATTGTAAAAAAAAAAAAAGGGGGCAAGGATAGAGGTATAAAATGTGTCTCTGAGTGTATGTGCGTGGGAGGGCGGGGGGGGGGGGAGGGGAGCAGTTTTGAAACGGGGAAAAAATAGACCAAGAAGAGATTAAAAAAGGACAAGAAAGAGAAAATAAAGGCGGGTGCACAAGGAATAAAAAATCGTTTTCGATCGGTGTTGTTGAATTTAAATTTTGTTCGCGGAAACATCAACTGCACGCTTGGCACTTTTCTTGTTTGGAGTATTTCAATGTACAGAAACACGAGAGGCTGCTTTGTTTTATCTGATTATTTATTTTATTTTTTTTTAGGTGAAGGGGGGTGGAGGGGGGTGGAATGGAGGTGTACGGCGAGACAGACAGACAGACAAATAGATAGATAGATAGATAGATAGATAGATAGATAGATAGATAGATAGATAGATA